TATTAGTGGAGTATGCATACCAAATATTAAGTCCCTGTCTCTTATGGTTCAAAAGTTATGGCTAAGGTTAAAGTTTGCAGACAAACAGACAGAAAGACAGACAGGACAAAAAAAATATATTCCCCGGATCTATCGATCTGGACGCATAAAAATATCTAAAGTACCAACAAGATGTGTTTGTGATACTGATGCCTGCGTTTGGCAACTTACATGTATAGCAAATGTTAAACTTAATTGTCACAAGAATAACGCCCCAACTGTTCAAAAGTTATGGTCAAGGTTAAAGTTAATTAAAATTTTGGAAAACTGGAACAGACTCCAACGTCAAAAGGCAATTTGGTGGCAAACGAAAAGAAAGGTCCTGTGACAAAGAATACGCGTGTGAAATATAAAAACCATAGCCTCAACCATTCAAAAATTATTGGAAAAGTTAAATTAGAGTTTTTGCGGATAAAAAGACAAAGAGATTAACAGACAGACAGACGGACGAACAAAGCAAGTTTGAATATTTTAACTAGTGTTTGTTTGATTGTGAAGAATGTGATTGCAAGGCGTCACGTGATCGACTCATTTGGTGTTTAGAAAAAGAATGTTTACTGTACCCATTTTTTTGGAATAAGGAGCTTATTACGATTGCGTTCATGACAAAAGGGTGGGGTTTTTTTCAAAGAAAGAATGATAAAGGTTTTGACAATGCATTGAGAGTGTTGGTGAGCGTTCACGTAGATTTTTTCTCCACGACATGTTTTACGATTTGAAACGTCTAACTAATGTGGATCTCTGAACATTGACGTTGATTCATCAATAAAGTTAACAATAAATTTAATATGTAATTATCTGGATCTTTCTGTCATCTATAGAATTCAATAGATATTAGAATTTAATTCAAGATCGTTTTTACCATAGGGTGCACATCTTTGTATGGATCATATGTATTGATTTCTTGGGTGATTTGAAAGTAAATATGGATGAGCAGATGAACGAAGGATATGGGGATAACGAACAGTATTCAATATCAAAGTCCATAAAACAGTACAAAATAGAACAGATCGAGCAAACACGGACCTCCGAAACATCAGATGTGGGATCAGGTGCCATGGAGGAGCAAGCATCCCCAGCTGACCGGTCACACCCGACGTGTGCTCATTGTCATGATCGTGAAATAACGGAAAAATCCGTCGTCAATTCAGGGAATAAATAATGGACTAACAATTGGTATGAAAAACGTCAGTCAGCATTTCACTCAATGATAAATTGTATTTTCTGACAAGGTCATTGTATCGACCATAGAACTTACGAAATGATGACTTAAAACGAGACTGCTGATATTTTTGTTTCATCAACTTGCTTTAATTTACCTCGTTTAAGAAATCGCTCATACGTAGAGCATGCTCTTGCGTATCGAATCAACTGAGATATATACACTCCGTATGCAGGTGATGAAGGTATATTGCTGCATAAGATTAAGTAAGGGAATTTGACGACAGAAAAGATTAAGTCGTCACGTTTATAATTTACCTTGGTTGTTAGGTTACCATCAACGTCTTTTTCAAATGAAATATCCAAGTATGAAATAGATGTGTCAGACTCTGTGGTATCTTCGATCTCAAGCTCTCCTGGATATATCGAATCGACGAAGGAATGGAAATTACCATTGTTAATTGACAATGCGTCGTCGATATATCTGAAGGTCGAGTTGAAGGCCACAGTTGAGTTGAATCTATGCTACCTGAAGATGCTTTCATATATCTATGACCAACCTTGGCTTTGCTGTTTTTGAGAATATTTTTAAACTCTGATTTCCCACCCTACACAGAGGGGTCATGATTTGTACAACTTTGAACCTATGCTACCTGAGGATGCTTTCATATAACTATGACCAATCATGGCTTTGCTGTTTTCAGAGGAAGATTTGAAAAAAAAATCCATATGTATTCCTGTTAAACTTTGATCCCCCATTGTGACCCCACCCTATCCCCAGGGTCATTATTTGAACAAACTTGAATCTACACTACCTGAGGATGCTTCAACAGGAGTTTCATCTTTCCTGGCCCAGTCATTCTGGAGAAGAATTTTAAAATATGCCATTAATTTTTCACCCATTCATAATTATCTCCACTTGGAAGAGTGTGGTCCTTCATTTGTACAAATTTGAATCCCCTTCACCTGAGGATATTTGGTTAAAATTGGCCCAGTGGTTCTTGAGAAGAAGATGAAATCGTGAAAAGTTTACAGCAACGCCAACGACAACGACAGACAATGGACAAATTTCGATCAGAAAAGCTAACTTGAGCTTTCTGCTCAGGTGAGCTAAAAGACTGTACACATAACAGTTGTGCTTAATGTCGTCTGATACGGAGCGTTTATCATTCAAAGCCACCTGTTCACTGTACACATACATGTATGACTTGTTTGTACTTCTTGCTTGCTCCATAATTTTGAGAAGTAAATTGACAAGGGAAAATTCCATTTGAGTAGTAAAGAGGATAGCATACTTAAACTCTTGTATTCAAGATGATAACATGTACTTGTTATAAATTCCTGTTATATAAACACCTGTCAAATTTCTATTGTGATTTATTAAAATATCTTAATAATTACAAAACAAGAAAACTGTAACAAGTTATCTCCTCTTGAAATCAAATAACATTTTTCAGCAGGACAAATGATACGCAGCACTTAATTATACGTATAAGGAAATACATGTATACAACATTTTATCAAAAACATTGGCATTACCTCATAAATACATATAATAGCTAGAAATACTAATATTGAAGATACAATGCACATATACTGGTATACATGATGTAAAAATTACAATGATTGTGAAAAGCAATTCTTCTGTTTTGTAACTATATGGCATCTGCATTTAGATTGTCAGTAGGTTATGTTATTGGCTAAAAAAAAAACATTGGTTGCTTTTCAAGAAAGAAGCAGAAAATTCACACATATATTTCCTGTTCTTTTATTCATGGATCACTGTTGCACAAACATGCAAATATCTAAGAAAGAAATTAAATCAAGTGTAAATATATTTGTAACATCCCATGAACAGCAGCGGTTCATGACAACATATATTTCGCAATTAAAACATGATTATAAAATCTGGCAAATATTGATTGCACTAGTTCAATTTCAGAATTATTTAGATACATACATGTAAATAAAAAATAAAATAAATCACAAAATTACACAGAATAAGAAAATCACATCTATTACAAAATTGAATGTTCAAATGACAATGAACAACTAAACAAATATCTGCTTAAATAAAGCACAAACAGTAAAGTGGAGGGTATTTTATATAGAAAGAAGCAGATTGATTTAAAGTAAACCAATCATATTTATGAACAAGATGGTAATGTTCACAGCTGAAACAAAATCCTTTTGACAATATTACATACATAGAGGGGCTTACTCACACAGCCAGCTTACGTACATTTTTTTTTCTTCCTTCAACAGTATTAATCTCTGAATGAGCAAATAACATGTACAGAATGACAATCAAAACAAAAGCTTAATAGGGATCAAGGTTAAGAATTTTTCTGTAATTAAGTAAAACTCAACAGAAATGGCTTTAAGCACATTTTATTCTCAGAAGTCAAGTGTTTCATCTCCCGTGCAAGATTTACAGGGTATAGAATTGAATTTTTAATAATTAATAAAATTTATGTTTCAGCTTTGGAGACTTAATTTATCCATGTTTGGAGATCCCTAACTGATCCTGACAATTTACTCAAGGGGGAGAAAAAGCTTAGTCCAGATTAGTGGGGTCCCATTATACAAAATTTATTTTCTCCTAAAGAATCCTTTAAGCCCCCTTCCTTTAGATGCTATACACAGTTTACTTCCTCTTAAAGAATCCTTTAAGCCCCCTTCCTTTTGAGGCAGCTTTCGCCTCCTGTTTCCTCTGTTTTTCATCTTCCTTCTTTTTCCTTTTTTCTTCTTTCTTTCTCTCTTTTTCCTTCTTCTTTTCTTCCTTTTCATTGTCAAACTCCTCCAGAAAATTAGGATTTTGTTCCAACATGACTTCTATTCTGTTAAATAAAGAGGTTAGTCATAATAAGAGTGTATATTACTGTGAACTGTTATTTTCGTGCCAGAAATATTCCTGATTTTTAGCGACCTACTTTTCTTCAGGAATATTTATCACTGTGATATATTTATTTTCCTTAAATTGTTAAAATATGTTAATTTTCTCAGTTTTCAATTGCAAATATTAATCGTCATGGATTGATTCCAAACTGACGAATCGCAAACAAAAGATAACACAAATAAATAATAGTTGATTTACAGTACTGTAAACCACTTATGTTCATGAGTGAGAAATATTCGCAAGTTGGCGACCTACTTATAGTCGCGAATATCACATATTCAGAACATCACTGCATTGAATTTATGAAGGTACGGTACATATATTAATGTAAACAGGAAAATTACCCTACCCCACCCCCTGTAAATATCTCATTAAGAAGCTGTTTAGAGATACTTGCCTGCTGTGAATATTTAGAGATACTTGCCTGGTGGAGATAATAGTTACATAGTCTTTTAGTGACAGGGTATGGGATGATACCTGGTTAGTAAATTTCATACCTGGCGAGGCGGAGCCGAGTCAGGTATGAAATTTACTAACCAGGTATCATCCGATACCTTGTCACTAAAAGACTATGTAATGAATTTTCCCCATCGATGAAACATTTACGTTTTATCTGTTAGTTTATAAATGGTTTTCTCTGCTAAATGCTTCATCACGCTTATACTGTGCCTATTATGACGTCACGTTTGTGTTTGTGACGTAATACATCGACCGGATAAGATTTACAACTGACCGGGTATAAGTAATCCACCACCTTCACATGACAGACTTCAACCAATCGTAAGCCAGGATTTCACGGAAAAATCGACAGAGTGGGGTAATTAGAGATACTTGCCTGGTAGAAATATTTTCCTGGTAGAGATATTTTGAGATACTTGTCTGCTGAAGATATTTATATATACTTGCCTGTTGTGATAAATGTGCTGTGTGTGCTGCTCTGGGATTAGGAAGGGGAGGTAAGAGGTTCAGGAGAGTGAGAGATAGGGGAGGTAACTTTAGCCTGGTGCTGTATTATTCTATCATCGTACCTAAACAAAACAATATAACATTATTCACAATAAATACAATAGCAACAAATATCAAAGCAGTGTTATAATACTGGAAAGCAAAATATTTATGATTTAATTTTCTAATTTTTTTCATGAAATCCTACTAAGATAATTAGCAATTTATAATAAACTAGCATGGAGAAGCAGTGAATTCCAATTGCTACTAAATAAAGCAGTGAGAAGAAGTTTTGTGAATGTTTTATTTCTCAAAGCTGTTCAAAATAGTATTTCTACAAATCAATATGCTTAATAATTTCTACACAATTTTTTTTAATCATACTGATTTTAGATACATTCTCAAGTTTAGCACCTACATTTGATCCACTCCTCATTTATTAATTTTTGTTTGATCCACTCCTTTGGATCCCATACTTACTGTTGTACTTGTTCTGGGACAGAAATATACTCCATGGGAATGATCTGACCTAGTTCTGACAGCGACCGGACAAACCGCAGCTTGGAGGAAAATTTGGCACTGGAAGAAAACCAACCAGATTTTGTTATTTTTACAATTTTATCCTGACAATCTTGATTCAATTTGGTAATATAAGCTATTCTGACAATTTTGATTGTGTATGTGTTACCATATGGTAATAAATGTGCAATATTTTCCTGACAATTTCTAGAAAGGGCCATTTGGTTCACTATCACATCAATCTACACTGAGGTGTGGGTCAATAGTGTGATGATAGCAAGCGCAGCAAGTGTCGCGAAGCGACGCTCGTCACTGCGAGCTCTTAAAGCAACGCCTGTGCGAAGAGAAAATTCGGACTACTGCACATTCATTCGATAGAATTTTTTGACGCAGTAATTTGGACCCACAATGCATCACTTGTTTTAGCTACCTTCTCACGAGAATAACAGCAAAAGTTCAACAAAAAGTTTACTCGCCTTGATTTAATATTGATACATATTGAAAACAAATAGTAAATGAAAGGTTCTTTATTAAATTTCAGCACTGTTCAGGTTTTTTATTGCTTTGCAAATTACATACGACGTCATGCGACGTCAGTCTAAACGCACCAAATGTCACGTGCGGTTTGACGAGCCCGATCTAAATTAAAACAATAAAAGAGTTTGCGCCCGCTCTAATGGTCGCACCCTCAACATATTATGTTCATGTAGTATAAATTACTAAAAAGAATTTCTGACATATTAGGCTATCTAAATTTAATTCTCTGGTTCTCAGGCCAATTTTCTCCAAAACAGACGCGGAAGGGCTGCATGTTATTTATCATTTTATTGGCAATAAAGTAGATGAGGGAGGTATTTTTTTAAATTTAATTTTTCGAATTTTCTTTAACATAAAGATAATGTTTTTAATCACAGATATACTTTCCATTTCTTGCCAAAAATTTCTGCTTTATCCATTGCTAATCAGCATGTAAACATCGTAGGTAATGTCTTCAAATGTATTTTCAAACAAAGTAGCCAAAATCTCATTGCAAATGGCCACCTGAAGTGATATTTGAATACTAAACTATGAAACAAATGAGGTCGGAATGTTTTTTTCCGGATTAGTCTCCGCAATACCAACTTTTTATTTTATCAAAAATACAAAAAAATTAGCAATGCGGCTACCTCAAAACGGATGCGCACGGGCCTGAGAACCAGAATTTCAATTTTATATGGCCTTATTTTTGCAAGATATTCATTAAAGCTTTATTAGCAAAACAAAATTTTCATAAAACGGTTGCTGCTGCAAGTATGAAATTTTTGTGAGCACACTTTCTCATGTAATTGTGCTAATTCAAATTAGTTCTCGCAAATGTGAAGTGATTTACAGTAATGACAATGAAGCAATCGTACCATGATGATAAAGAAATGCAGTTCACTATTCTCAAATTGACATCCCATTGTTGCATCACTTCATCGTAATTGCAAAATTGCTTCATTGTCATCCCATAACCGTGTCATTGATCCAAGAAGTGATGCTTGATAGTGCAAAAGTGAACTACTTGGCCCTATTGTTTTGAGTATATACCTGATAAATGGTCTGGTCATCATGACTATAGTTCTAAGCCACAGAGTGGGATGAATCAGCATTAAGGACTTCAGATTCTTCCTCAATCTTTAAAAAAAATCAGATATTTTATAACATTTTAACACATATAAGTATGCAAGTATTCATTTTAGTGAATTTCATGCGAAAGTTTACAATTTACAGTTCAGTTGATATTTGGAGAGAAATTATCTTTTTACACATGTTATATTGAACTATTTTTAAACTGGAAGAAAACATGATCTTTGCAAACTCATTCCAAAACAGTTTTATTTTCTAGCTTGAATATTGAATGACCCCTGACCTTCTGTCAATCATCTGGTAACATTTTTTCAGCCAACCAAAGCTTGGCATCTGTCGCCGTGGTGTGGCTCCATGGAAATAAACAATCATGTAGTCCTCGGCAACCAGGGTCTCCAACGTACTTATCACATACCTGGAAAAAATATTTATTGAGATCAATAGATTTCACAGGAAAAATTTTTCTCTAAAAATTGGGCATTAACTTTTTTAACTATATAATCAAATATGTGCAATTACTCAACAAAATACTAATAACTCTAAGAATTTTTAAAACCTTCCATGTGTATAGAAAGATAATTCTTTGATGATGCATTCTTAACAACTGAATTTAATAAAAGTTACTTTATCATATGGATAAGACAAGTTTAACTGTTTAATATGCATACTTACATAAATAAATTATCCATCACATACTGATAATCTTTCCTACTGTGGTCTGGTAAGTAACATCCCGAGAAAATAATAATGGCATTTAGTCCCTCTCCATAGTAACCTTAAAAAGTTAATACACATTTGTATGGATTAGCATTAGCAATAAAAAATATAAATACAACAACACATGTACTAAAATGATTATTCAAACAGTGATTTATGGCTGAAATACCCAGTATACTGAAATATGTTTCCAAGGCAATTTCTGATAGAAAGCAGACCAAAACAGCAGTTGATTGCATCATGACTTATCAAGTCACAAAAGGAGAATGGTATTGACATCTAACATGTTTATTAATAAGAGTTATTTCCCTTTGTTGGTATTATCTGATGTCACCTGTTGCTAGATACAATCAAAATAACAGTACATGTAGCACCTTTACAGGACAGTATATACATGACTGTATGACAAATGAAATATATATGTACACATTTATTTTGTTTTCCACATTGCCCCATACTATGCCAGTTAAGGAATTATGGTACAAAATTGTCAAACTGTGTAAGGTTTAATGAATATATATACAGATAACTTACTTAGGATGCAAGATATGCTGGCAAAAGGGATAATCTTTGACAATGTGAAAGTCCTTGTGAAAAGATAGTAATTAATTAAGACCTTGACCTATTATAAAAATACAGTATTTACATTGCACTTGGACCTTACCTCCATGAGAGAGGACCTTTTTATATGGCTCAATGACCTTGAGGTCAATCTTCATCTGTTTTCCTCCGATCTCCACCCCCTTCCAGAGTTTAGACTCGCGGTATTCATCCCGAGCAGAGAATTCAGGGAGTGGATCCGACCGTTTGATAGGTGTATCATCTGGAATGAAAAACAATAAACTACATTCAATAGCACACCTATGTTATCTTTTCCATAAATATCATCTACATTGAACACTATAGCTAACAAATTTTTTCCCCAAACTTCTAAAATTAAATTTTAAAACACCAGAATTTAAAAAAAAAGCTTACCAGCCATGTCACATATAAGCTACTTATGTTATTTAGCTTCCTTGTTCCCTATTAATATTATTATTTCCTCCTTTTAAAGTTTATAATACTACTTGTGTTTTACCTTATAGGAATATACAGGGTGCAGTAACTGTCAACTTAAGATAGGCTTTATTTAAGAATAAAAGATATGGGCAAATAGTCACGCATTTTAAATGTCGGGTCATGCTCAGTCAACATTTAAATGAAGGGCAAAGGTCAAAATTCAAACGGCTGAAGAGAGGACTGAATTTTTACAGAAATTTGGACAAACAGACCAAATTATGGATATTTTGTAGAAAGAAATTAATAGAAGTGAATATGTACAAAGGAACAGAACAATATACTCATAAGACTGTAATACGAGGGTTGATCCAAAAGTAATGTCACACCTTCGATAAAATTGCTTCTAGTCTACGTAAACTAATAAAATTACACATGATGGTAGCTACATTGATTTCAAATCAGTCCTGAAAAATTCAAATTGAAATGATTTATACTTTTCAAAATATTGAATTATATACAAAGTGCATTTATGGTAGTCGCCGCATCTCAATAACGTCATATGACGGATATGCGCCGTCACACAGTTTTAAAAACACTTCCCCGTCGTTTCATTAAAAAACTAATATTTGATAACACATTCACACATTTAAATTTCTTTAAGAATTATTGTCACCAATTGTACACTCTATCAGTAATTTAGTCCTTCATCAAAATTCTTTGAACAGTACTATAAGACAAACTTTAAAGTTTCTCATACAATGTATCACTCAAACCGCGTGACACGAATCTCTTTTTGACAACGTCAGCGCGCCATTGAACGTTTCCACCCGACCTCGTATCTTTCGGTCTTTCTGTCCTCAGCTGATCAATTAATTACCCATGGCCCGCCAAAAATCTCTGACACCATCTATGAACAAGTCTAGTTTTATCATTATTTCCTCTGCTAGTCTGATTTACCATCGCAACTGATTCCAACTGCGATTTCCCGATTTTGAAGGGAAAACGCATTGAAACACAGTCGGCGTTTTATTCAATTTTGACATTTCCTTTCTTCAATACATCAGAAATAAACAACAATGTTCATGATAAAAAACAATGTCGCCATTTTAATTTCAACTAAAGAATAGAATCGAAAAGGTCAATTTTGTCTTTTTTAAATTTTTGGGCGATTAGACGCTTTTTCAAATGCCTTTTTTAAATGTGTTTCTCTTTTTTATTCTAACAATATACACTTTAAAACACGACGTTTAGTTTTGACGTGGCGACACCCCCTATGTTTAATATTTTAAACGTCTATAAAATGAATTCAGTAAAACATTTTTGAATGAAATTTTCAATTTTTATTAGATTTCTTTTTCTGCATCTTTTGATGCATTATATTTGATAATGTGACGCCAAATATTAAAGATGTGGACACAGTGACATTACTTTTGGATCAACCCTTGTATATACTGTGGTGTTACAGACAGACAGATATAACACACTTACTCTCCCACTCCAAACCCTCAGCTGGATCCACCCCGTCATCGTCTAGATCATCACTCAGGATGTTAAAGTTAGTCGTGATCTTCTTCTTGGGGTGGGCACTTAGCAGGGAAGGCCGCACTGTGTATAAAATAAAATAATGTCAGCCAAGTAATAAAAGTGTAAAATCTATTGTGAAAGTGTGTTTTATTTCAGATAACAAGGGCTGCACTGCAATTTAAAGTAGTGTAATAGCTGTAAGGAAGTCAAGAAATTAATTCACAACACATTTGGAATTAGATGTAGCTTCAGATGGCTTTGACTAATTTAAAAACATCGCTCCTTTTCCAAAAATGTAATGGCCTACCCACCCCCCTGACCCTCCTTTTTTTACAACAACTAATATAAATATGAAGAAGTGTAGACTTGAGATTTTAATGTCTACCTGGGGATTGCTCTGTACTGGAGTTA